ATTCGTGATCTTTTACAACCAATTACGTGCCCATCTCTAGCATCTCAGCTGATCGCATATTTACAAGCGATTTGCCGTTTTTGATAAAAGGTTGCGTCAGCTAACAAATGTATTCTGAAGACTTTTGGGAGACATTAAGCGTTAAGCTGATTCCGTGAATGTATTCTTGCGATTTACAAAAGCAAAAACACGCCTTTTGCACTCACAACATTCATATTCAAAAACAAGTAAAAAAGCTAAAGTCGGGTGTCCCGACTTTGAAATACTCTGTACATATGTTTAGAATAATTATAAAAATTTAAATATTAAGAAAATTAAAAAAAAAAATTTAGATCGATTTTACCTCACTTGGTATTCGAACTCACGTAAACGGTGTATAATTGCACATATACAAAGCAATTACGTGTATGTGAGTGCATGTATGTTTATGCGCGTCTATTCGTGTCTGTGTAAGCGTGTTTGCAGTCAACCAAAGCATCAGCAGCTGCGGGCAGCGCTTGGGCAGCGCTTGAGCAGCACTGCAGCAGCAAATATATGTATGGCTATAACTTCTTGTTAAATCGGTCTAATGAATCTTGGTATGCGGACACATAATTACTAACTGAGGGTATTTGCAAAATACCTAAGAATTAGAGATTTGCATGGGAGAGGGGGGGGGGGGGGGTGGGATGGAAATCCAAAGTACACATTTTCTGCGTATTCACATAAGGCATCAGGGACTAAAATACGAATGGAACATCGGGAAAACCCCCATAGGGGGGAAGTGCGGCGAACAACAAAAAAAAAAAAACAAACTTGCACAGCGTACACATACGTGGTGCGTTCCAAAATAAACAGGACTTTTTGAATCTAGCGCCCCCTGGTGGCGCTATCTATATGTCGACTGGTGCGTTAGAATTTGCTATCTTTATCGATTGTCCAGTGAGCAAACATTAAATTTTGTTTTAAAATTGGTAAAGCTTTTACCGAAACGTTAATTTGATGGAACAAGTTTATGGCGATGATAGCCTACCCTGTAGCTGAGTGCACGAGTGGTTTCAACGTTTTCAAAGTGGTCGCGAGGACATAAATGACGATCAACATGTGGGCCAATCAAAATTCGTGATCATTGAAATTGATGGAAATGGAATTGAACATCTCCAAAACATCGATTTATCGCATTTTGACCGAACATTTGGGCTTACGAAAGGTGTGTGCACGGTTTGTTTCGCACAAATTGACTGACGACTAAAAATTGCTCTCATCGATCGACGCTTGTGACCGATTATTTGACCAAAAATCACATTTTTACCATTAACCACTCACCGTATTCACCTGATATGGCACCGTGCGACATCTATCTTTTCGGAAAAATGCATTTGTCCTTGAAAGGAAAGCATTATGCAGACGTATAGGCCATTCAAAAAGCTTGCACCGGCATACTAGCGTCCATACCGGCCAACGAGCTAAAACACTCGTTCAACATGCTTTTGGATCGTGCAAAAAGCTGTATTGAAGCAGAAGGAGACTATTTGAATAAAATAAATTGATTTTGCCGGAAAACCATTTGTTCTGTTTTTTTTTTAAGTCCTGTTTACTTTGGAAAACACTTTGTATAACGCATCTTTGTGCAAAGTTTGGCGTCTCTACCTGAGATCCATGTGTTCATACGGACAGACGGACAGACGGACAGACAGACAGACAGGGCTAGATCGACTCGTCATGCTGATCAAGAATATATATACTTTTTGGGGTCTGCCACGCTTCGTTCTGCCTGTTACATAATATACCTAATATACTCTTGTAGATTTTATATACAGAGTATATAAACACATATGGATAAGTGTTGAACTGTACAATTGAATACATACACTTATATGTGTGTACTAGCAGGTATTGCCCGTCTTATCCCAATATAATATTTCAAATTGTATTTATTTTGTGTGTGCTGACCTACCCATATATTTTCACCTTATTAATTACCAGTAGCAATTTAAGGTATTTAAATGAACATTTTCTGTTCTTGACAAAAAATTGTTAGTAGTCCGTTACATTTTTGTTCTTTCCAAGGATTAGGTTATAGGTAATTTGTGATGCGGCGGAATTCTCCGTCATAGTAGTACTAATGATCCTACAAACTCAAGTTAAGTAGCTACAAGTCGGCGAGTAAAGCTAATTTCTGTTACGGCCAATTTATGTAACGAGATAGAATCTGTATCTGACACCTCTAGGTTGCGAAAAGTGCTAGCTTAAACTCCCTTACTGCCATCTCTACTACGACCGAGAACAGCAGATGGGTGGACTCGACTAAGGAATCTCTAGAACTACTGTTCGACACCCACTTCCCCGGCTGTTCTGATAATAGCAGCGCAGACTTCTCTCATAACCCACTAGGCGTACCAAGGCAACTGGTATGCAACATAGTGAATGAGAAAATGGGCTATCAAAACTTCAAGTCCCCTGGCCCAGACGGCATTGTCCCAGCCAAACTTTATCCCTCTCTGATGCTCATTATGCCTTGGTTACAGGCTATGCTCAAGGACAGCTTGCTAATCAACCACATTCCTACAGGCTGGAGAGAGGTGAAAGTGGTGTTCATCCCCAAAACTGGGAAAGCATCACTTGTCAAGCCTAAGGACTTCGGGCCCATAACCTTGTCTTCTTTTCTTCTGAAAACTCTAAAGAGAGTAGTAGAAACCTACCTAAGACACTGCACAGGCAAGGTAAATGCCGAGCTGAGCGGCCAATCTACTCGTAAGTTCATCAGCAGGGGGACTCAACAGGGGGGAGTTCTCTTCCCGCTACTATGGGTGCGGTAAATTTCCGCAAACGCTGTGCAACCTAATGGAATCAGCTCTCTCAACGCATTGGGGAGGAGTCTCCTCTCCTGACCTGGGCATTAGGATATCCTTTTGGATTCTTGATAACTGCAGTGTCTATCAGGCAGAAGGCGAATGCAATAAGTGGAAAGCAATGTTACATCTACTCTGATAGTCAGGCAGCTCTTAAAGCGTATGACTCCAACAGGGATAACTTCAAGGTCATCATGGTCTCAATGAGATAGCCAAGCATGTCCAAGCAGTGTCTACCTCGTGTGGACATCGTAACATCGAGAGTAACTGCATAACAGATGAGCTGGCAAGGGAGGGAACGAATCCACTAATCCTTCCAGGAAAGGAAGGTGTGGGCATGCCACTTGCTACCTTCCGGCTCAGGACACATAACCAAGCACTTTTTAGAACACAACTGCGTTCGGACAAGGTCAACCTGGCCGTCCCTGGATGCGAAAAGGACACGCAGATTATTGGAGCTGGGCAGGAAGGATGTCTCGTTAATAGTGGGGACGCCCACTAGCCACTGCCCAATTGGAAGGCACGCCGAGCTGCAGGGATGAAGAAGAGGAAGAAAGTGTCGAGCACCTCCTCTGACGCTGCCCAGCGCTCAGTATGCGCAGGATCCTTGCTCTGGGATGACCATTCTTGACTGATCTCTCTGAGCTGGCAAACATCGATTCAGTAAACGTCGAAAAATTCATTAGGACCACAGGCTGGCTGCAGTGGTAAAGGAATATTAATAATTATATGGTGTCACAGAGGGCCTTGATAGGACTAAGTGTGTGGCTGAAAACCATCACCCCAGCCATACCAACCTAACCTAACTGCATTCTTATTGATCTTCTTGTTAGTGTCCATCCATCCATTTTCGTTTACGTCATTTTATTCTCATTCCAACGCAAGGAAAATAAGTTATAAGCTAAAGTTGTGTGTGACGACTTTCAAATACTCTGTACATACGTGTATGTGTGAAACAATTATGGAAATTAAACAAATAATTTAATTTTTTTGATCGATTTTACCTCTCATCATATTCAAGGTGTAATTTCACATTTACATAGGATTTGTGTGGGTCTGCCACGCCTCCTTCTGCCTGTTACATTTTTCAGCTCGCGCAAACCTAGTATACTCTTGTACATTTCATGTACAGGGTACAACAAGGTAAGGCTGGTATGCAAGGAATAACATCCTCCTAGTTAGCTTCACGCTTTCATCATATTTTAACATCTGCTAGGTCAGCACATATTCTTGTATAGTGGTCCGTCGAATGGATAAAGGATTCGCCCAATGAACGCATTGCTGCCTAGGCTGGCAAGCCCAAGCATGTTGCCATGTAAATTCTTTAAAAGATTTGAACTTGTTTGCGAGAAAGTCGGGTCAAGTAATGAATAAAGAAAAACATTTTTATTAATTTTTTTTAATAACACTGTTAAAGCCTATGAATCTGTGAAAAGAGTATTACGGGTAGAGTTCCAGGATCACATTCAGCTCGAACTTTTGGCATATTTAGATTTTGACATCACTAAAATGAATGATTGGTTGGCAAACACCGTCGAGCTGAGCCCTCTAAGAGGGTGCCAACTGGTAATGACACTAAAGCTTGTCCCGTGCGTTGTCGGTTAACGGTGTGCAAGTAAGATCAAAGACAAAAGCCACACAACCTAACTCCTCAATGGTTACATTGTCTGCCTATGGTCTCTGATCATGGCTTCGAGGTGAGAGCTGGATCAAGGTGTCATGCCAAGCCGAAGATCAGCCTGGCTGGGGGACCTTTTAAATAACCCAGTCGCTCACGTAGCATTCGGCGTACCTGGCGACCCCTCGCATTACTTAGCCTTACCCGGGTATGCGGATCTCTGCCCGGGTGTTCTAACCCCTTCTCCGCCACTCGTGGGAACCAAAATCGGAGACCGTCCCACGAAGGCCGGAACGAATTGATAGTTCCGCAAAAACAGGGGTTGTGAACTTAAGCTCCGGAGAAACAAGGACGAAGCAGAGCCAAATCGGTAAGCCTAGACCTCCACTGCCAACCCAAAGGTCGTCCAGGGCATAGAATTTGCAATGATTTAGTCTACATTTTTTATTTTTTTTTATTTTAATCGAACCTAAATTACTCCTAACTACAATTTTAAACATAGAAAGTATGTATGTAGTTTAAGATCATTAATTTTCGTTTTTTTGTGCCAGCAAGTCCTCTTGAGCGCAACGCCGGCAGTGCATGGTAAGTGATTTATTTTCTTTATTTGATCTTTTCCATATAATACTATCACATTTGATTTAATGTGCGAATTACGTTCGATTTCACTCTCATTTCTTAAAAATTAATTAATTTTCTGTAATGTTTTTTGAGCATTATTTTGGAATATACTTAATTTAGAAAATAATATATTGCAAACTATTTAATGTAAAATGAGAATGATTTTGGATTATAATGATGATAACATATGCCTTTAACTTTGATATGAAGTCGTAAATTTCCTTTCGCTGGTCCAACTAACACTAACTAAGTTGTCACCGCCAAAACAAACTTAAAAGTAGCATCAAGTTGCTATAGCGGCTAGCGACCAAGATTGTTATTTCCGGTATGCCAAGGTAGGGTGGGTACAGAATAGATCAACATCTAATACCCTAGAAGCAATCTTCTATACATTAGTCTGTCTGTTCGCTTTTATACTGGTTGTAGGAACAAATCCGAATACTCAATTTGCTTGTTCTGATAGTTTCTGTTTAGTGCACTTATTTTCTTGTAGTGGTGTGTCCGCTATGGTAGGAGGAGAAATAACTCCACCCCGTCCGACGAGCTAAGTTAGAGCAACGCAAGCAGTGCGAGCCTCGAATCCTCCATAGCACAGTGAGAGAACGTAGTGTACATTCGTACACTCGTATTTCCCTTCACAAGAAGCTCCCAATTTTGGGTGTTGGAGCACCCTACTTAGCTTCTAAGCCCTTTCTTTGCGCTCTCTATCGCGCCCTTTACTGCGCTCTCTGTGGCGCTCTCTTTGTGCATTACTTTTCTTATGCCGGCCCGCTGACTTGTAGCGGCAGCAGGCAAATCACTTGTTAAATACTTCTCGCACGGTTAACATCGTTATTGCACAAATACCAAGCCATTAAAAGCCATTTTAATAATTAAAGAACACCGCGTCTCATTTAATAAATAGTTAAATCTTGTCGTTTCGCTAAAAAGCTAGCGATTTTTCATTGGCGCCCGAGCAGGGACATCGGTTTTCAGAAGATTATTTCCTCGTTTGTTTGCGGTCTTTGTGGCTTGGTTTTTGTGCGCGGTTGTGTGATTACTTCGTTTGATTTGGATCTGGTGTCGTTTGGATACCATATACATACATTTATTTGGATTTGGAGCTTGGTGCCTTTCTGGATATCATCAACTACAACTGCTCGTTTGGACTGTGGAGCTGCTGTCTGCCCTACTTGTGGTGCTGTCGTTTGGCTTGGCTAATGGGTGATCGTCGCTCGGAATCCAGGGAAGTTTCAGTGGACTCCTTTGAGAGCTTACAGGTATTCTGTGCCAACAATTGAGCATAAAGCTCTAAGAAGTTTAATTGCTGCAAATTTGTGCAAGCGAAAGTTGTCTAAACCTAGTCACATACGTACATACATATGTATATATAGTACGTGTATGCTTATGCGGGCTCAATTTTTGGCACTTAAATTATTTGTGCAACCACTTTACATGCACAAATACATAATCATACATACATATGCATGTACATACATACTCGCCAATAACCACATATTATATACATACATACGTCATACCTTGCACAATTTAACACATTATACACCCTCATAAACATAATTATTAACAAAACCTCGAGGCAAAACAAACAACAATAATTAAAAAAGGGCTGTTAAGCTGATTTTTAACATAAAAAACAAATATTTTGAAGTTATTTTGGTTCTATTGTGTTGGTTTTTTGGTGAAGATTTGATGCATCAGCTGCATACATAGAAACATAGCTTTTGTTGTTGCTTGCGCCGCTAGCGTAGCAAAAGAATTTTGTCGCTCTCTCCTTTGTGCGCGCCTTTTTTCGGCTACACTTGTCGCTGGCCAACGAACTTCCCCCCGCTACCCGTTCAGATTAGCGTTGCCAACAAGCGTGCTTGCGGTAATCGACGCCTATTTTCTGAGTACAGCTGAGACTGCTTGCAGATTTCGTTGTTGTTTGTGCGGTCGCTTGGACTGCTACTTTGCTTGCGTGCATACTGTATTGAGTGCGTGTGTATGTAATCTGCGTGTATTTCAGTTTGTCTCTTGCTGTTTTAGCGCGTTGTTATTTGCGAGGGTTGTTAGGAAAGTTCGGCTTTCATTTTCGTTGATTTGCAACTTGTCTAGAGTTTATTTTGGTTATACTCTACCATGTCGGAATCTGAGAAGCAACAAGTAGTAGCTAAATCTAGTTCTAAACTAGTACAATGCTTGCAGAAATTTGATAAGGTTAGCGCTGACATTGCTCGTATGAGAACAGCATTTCAGTTAAAGACAATTTCGTTTGAGCAAACAGAACTCGAGTGTCGTCTCGAGCTGTTAGAAGATTACATAAAGAAAGCTATGGCGCTTCAGGCAGATTTGGATAGTCTCAATCCAAGTAACGATAGTAGAGGGCCACTTGAGGATTTGTGCATTTCAACTAAGGCGTTGTATGTGAAGGCAACGAAACAAAAAGTTGAAAGTCAGACTTCTCATGACTGTTCTATGATGGCCAGTCAACGGTCCCAGTTACCCAAAATGCGGCTGCCTACATTCAGTGGAAAGCATGCCGAATTTAAGAATTTTATGTGCTTATTTGAAAGCCTAGTTCATGACGATCCTTCGTTGACCAACGTCGACAAGTTTAATCATTTGGTGTCGTGCTTGTCAGGTGAGGCTCTAGGAGTTGTGAAACCGTTTCAGTTAACGGACTGCAATTACTTAAAAGCCATTGCTAGCCTCAAGTCTGTGTACGACAACAAATGTTTGATATTTTTCGACACTATCTCGCAATTGTTTGACATCCCAAGTATGACCAAACCTAATGCGTCTACTTTGCGGTCCATCATTGACACTGTTTCTGCCATTTATGCGTCTTTAACTTCGTTGGGAAGTGAAAAGAACATTTCGAATGCAATGATCATACATATGGTTATGGCCAAAGTTGATCATGCAACCAAATTTCGTTTTGAGGAACAGCTCGATTATGACAAGTTGCCTTCTTGGGATGACTGCGCTAAGCAGATAAACAGGCGTTACCAATATTTAGCGGCTGAAGAGACAACTCGGGTTCCAAATAAACCGCGAGTAGAACCTGCAAGAAATAGTAAAGCTTCGTTTTCTTGCACCAAGGGTCCTTCAAAGCCTTCAAAACCGGTTTCGAAGTGCACATATTGTGGTTCTGCGGATCACAATATTTATTCTTGCCCTTCCTTCGGTTCTATATCTGTTATGCAGCGATTTGAGTTTGCTAAGACTCAAAAAATGTGCCTCAATTGCTTGAATGTGGGTCATGTAGTTTCCAGTTGCAAGGCTTCCAAATGTCGGGTGTGTTCAAAACCACACCATTCGTTGTTGCACAGATACTCTGTAGCTGTGCCAAATTCACCCGCTTCACACGCAGTCGCACCTCCAGAAGCGTACTTAGGTCACGTTTTAAGTGCCGATCAAGTAATTCTTGCCACAGCAGTCGTAAAAATTAAAGATAGATTCGGCCATTACCATCCTGCTCGTGTGTTACTTGATGGCGGCTCACAGTTGAACCTCATGACTGAGAACCTTGCGAAGCGCCTTCGATTAAAGCGTAAAGACACAGCTGTGAGTATCGTAATGGCAGGTGGAACCACTACTGGTAGTAGGCACAAGGTGTGCACTGATATTCAATCTCGTTTGAATTCTCACAGCTTTGGCACTGATTTTTGGGTTCTTAAATCCATATCAACTTGTCAGCCTGGTAACTTCGTGCCCACATCGAATTGGAAAATACCCGCAAACCTTGAGTTGGCTGACCCAGAATTCTATAAGCCAGCCAAGGTTGATATTCTCCTAGGCGCTGAACTTTTTTACAAGTTATTATGCGTTGGGCAAATCGAGCTCAATTCTTGTCTTCCATTGTTGCAGAAGACATTGCTGGGATGGGTTGTTGCTGGAAGATATACAGGGCAAATACCTCCACAACAATTCAGCGTTAACGTTGTCGCTCAAGTTAATGATTGTTCTCTCGACACCTTAGTTCAACGCTTTTGGGAACTCGATCGGAGCCCAAATGAGTCGAAGGCTGTGCGCCAGACAGCTGAACAAAAGGCCTGTGAAGCTAACTTCACCAAATCAGTACAGCGCCTGTCTACAGGACGTTTTCAAGTCGAACTTCCGTTCAAATCCGATCCCGCTGTACTAGGGCTTTCCTTTCAAACTGCTGAAAGACGATTTTTGCAACTTGAGCGCAAACTCGCAAGAGACAAAACTCTCCATGACATGTACCATGACTTCATGAGAGAGTATCGTGATCTTGGGCATATGTCTGCTCTTGAATCTCCTCCTCCAGGACAGCACTACTACATTCCTCATCAGTGTGTCCTGAGACCTGAAAGCACCACAACCAAATTGCGTGTGGTGTTTGACGCTTCTAGTAAAACGTCAACGGCCCTATCATTAAATGACACTTTAATGGTTGGGCCGACTATTCAGAGGGAGCTTTATTCAACATTTGTAAATTTTCGGTTGAATAAATACGCAATTACTGCCGACATCTCCAAGATGTACAGGCAAATAAACGTGTCTGAAAAAGACAAAAAGTACCAGCTCATTCTCTGGCGAGAAAGCGCCTCTCGTGAGCTGCAGTCCTTTAAGTTGAACACTGTAACATACGGGACTGCATCAGCGCCATTTTTTGCTGTGCGCTTGTTGTTTGAATTGGCAAATATTTATGCTCGATGTCACCATGTCGCGTTAAATGTCATTAAAAATTATTTTCATGGTGACGACATGCTGGCTCCTCATAATGATGTATTTCGTTATCATCTGCATGAGGATAGCTTTACTTCGTTGAAGCCGACAAAGCGGGATATATTATCTCGTTTGTCTGAGCAACTTGGACCTTTGTGCCCCATCGTCATAGCGGCCAAAACTCTGTGGCAAGAGCTGTGGCGATTTAAGATGTTAGTTGGGCTGCTAAAGCAACAGATTTGGGTGATAAATACTCGTAGGGTTTGCTCAGCAGTTTTACATAACTGCCTTCGATGCAAGCCCAAGTTAGTTGATCAAATAATGAGAAATTTGCCAGGTGATCGCCTTCGAGAAGGTCGACCTTTCAGGGTTTGTGGACTCGAACTTTGCGGCCCATTCCATGGTAGCTATCGCATACGCGGAAGACCGCCCGTTACAAATTACGTAGCGGTATTCGTTTGTTTTGCCTCGAAGGCCGTTCACCTCGAACTGGTAGCTAATTTATCCACTGATACTGTCCTTAACGTCTTTACAAGGTTCATCGGGAAGCGCGGCCAGCCGGAAATGGTCTTTAGCGACAACGTGACGAACTTCGCGGGAACAAGCGGCTTGCTGAGGGACATGCCGTCGGCTTTCGAGCGGAGAAAGGACGCCCTGACGGACTATGCGGCAGAGCGACGAATCGATTGGTGGTTCATTCTTCCCCGACCTCCTCTCATAGGAGGATTGTTGGAGGCAGCGGTGCTGCTAGGCGACCAGTCCAAGATGTTGGCGGTGCTCCGTGTGGATTTGAAAGACCGGGAGTCCTTCAAAGGGGCCGGAATGTTGGAGCACCCTACTTAGCTTCTAAGCCCTTTCTTTGCGCTCTCTATCGCGCCCTTTACTGCGCTCTCTGTGGCGCTCTCTTTGTGCATTACTTTTCTTATGCCGGCCCGCTGACTTGTAGCGGCAGCAGGCAAATCACTTGTTAAATACTTCTCGCACGGTTAACATCGTTATTGCACAAATACCAAGCCATTAAAAGCCATTTTAATAATTAAAGAACACCGCGTCTCATTTAATAAATAGTTAAATCTTGTCGTTTCGCTAAAAAGCTAGCGATTTTTCATTGGGCTTGCCTATAAAGCACTGACAATACACCTACACACTACACAAGTGGCTCCCAAAGTGGGGCCTGTCCATTGGCACCCGCAGCCTGTTCAAGGACCCCGATACACAAGTGGATGTCCGAATGGATGATGCCCGAAATATAGATACCCGAAAACCGTCTAGGCTTAACGCTCTTATATTCCATCCACTATATTTTCACAATTTTGAATGTTCAGTTGATTTATATGTCTACAGCGAAGTGGT